GAAACCTACCTGAGCACCCCCACTCAATGATCCCAGGACACCCCGCCGACCGCCCCGGCACCCATCCCTATTCACAAACAACAGAAACACCCAACTCCCAAGCGCATAGACCAGAGGTAAAGTTGACTTGCAGGGCGAAAGGCTCCCTAGCTGAGGGGGTACAAACCATCTGAGACAATCAGGGGAGCACCGCACCGGCAGCGCAGTCAAAAAACCTCCACAGAAGTAGCTAGAATGAGATAGTCCCCAAGCCACCGACACTTGACAGAACAAGCCTAGGTATTCCACTCTTCCTCAAACTCCTCAGCTCGCTCCGCAGGTGGCGAACCCGCCGCAGGCTCTGTAGTAGCCGGTTAGCAGTAGCGAACCGGCGAAGGCGTTGACCCTTCCAAGTCGGGGACAAGTAGTGGTACAGGTGAGGTCTGGTCTTGTTTGACACGGCGCTTCTTGTTCTTCTTACTCTTCCCACCCCCAGTGCAGGTCTAGTAACAGGAGTGAATGGGCCACTCTCATCACCACACACCACCACAGGAGGGACGCCACCAGAGGCGTTATCCCGACCAGCCACAGGCTCAGCCCTAGAGGACTCAGGCACTTGCCCCCTCGAAGGGGGTGATACCACCGTGGCTCGTGTCACCACACCAGGATCCATCCTACCCAAATCCGGAGCAAGTACCTCAACCATCCCCAATGAATCAGGAACCGGTCCACCCACACTACCAACTACAACCCAAGCTGCTAGAGGGGCCAAGATAATTGGCGGCGCAAAATTCCCGTGAGGGAGCTCCTCTGCTGGACTCCGAGAACTCTGAGGGTCTAGCCCACCCCCCCCAACCAAGACCACCGCAGTACCCGAAGTGACCGAGGGGACAGGCAAAGAGGCGATAACCATGGGAACTTCAGCCACCAACATCGTAAGATAACTGCAATTAATAGCACATTCATTCTCGAGGTCAGCCGACAAGGCAGATATCTCTTTCCCAGAACTATGAAATCGCCGAGAAGGAACAGAGATGTGATGCCGAAGGCGAGAGACTTCGGCCTCTAGGGCAAAGTTCTTCTCGACGGTACGAGACAGAACCACCAAGGAATATAGAGCAGACATGGCAGAGGGGCAGAGGCTCACTTAGCCATTGCGACCGTAAAGAAGTACCTCTGGTAAACAACTGAACGGATAAGTAGAAGGAAGAAAAGACTTCCAGCAAACGTAGGAGGGGGTATAACAATAAAGTCCCTGAAAAGGTGTTCGAAGTTAAAGACTTGAAGCCTATCGTGAGATAGAAATCAAGGGCTCTGATTGGATCGACACCGAACCTTCACATCCGATACGGCGTGAAAGAAGGAGGAAAAGTACTTAGAACAAGGCGTGAAAAACCTATCCTCCTCAGCCACATCCGCCTCCTTATATAGTGTTCTTCCCACCCATAGTTATGTGACCCAAAGGGGTCACATGTGTGAAACCAAATCATAACAAACTAATAATGTGACCAAAGTGGTCACCAGCTCAAACTCCATGACCTCATAGCAAGGTCATGTGCAAAACCTCATAAACTAATCATAACGCAATAAACAAGTCATATGACTCAAATGAGTCATATGTGCAAAACCCATGACCTCATAATGAAGTCCTATGCTAAACATAAGTCATATACGCAAGGCATAACCGCAAGGCACACTCGCAAGGTATACTCGTCAGGCGCATATCCTATGACTCATATTTGAGTCATGTGCGAAAGCATCACAAATCCCACATATAACAAATGATATGACTCGAATGAGTCATATTTGTAAAACCATAACATACCTGTGACTCATAACTATTTGTCATGTGAAAACGTTTTTCCTGCCAAGCCACATTCCTGATAGAGGCACAGAATCCACAAGGCCTTTAAGTTTCTCTGGGGTAATGGTATCCCCTTCATCCTGGATAGATTGCCAGAGGACATCGTTTGTAGTAGGAAAGAGAGAGCGGCTGTGTATTTTCTGTTTTATAGTACACCAGACATTCTTTATATAGCTGCAGTTTAGGGATGCAGGAGGCCAGTCAATAAAGTATCCCTAAATTTCAAGTTCTTGGAATTGATTTTGTGTATATTTGGAACTGTCTAGTGCTACTCCATCTTATTGAAGATAGACGTAGTTTAATTGCTGTCGGAATTGTTGCTGCCAAAACTGAAAAAATTGTGGAATAATATAAGTAGAAAACAATACTGCCTTAATAGTCTTATTTTATTATTCCTTATTCCAAAGGATGAGAGCACCTTTCTGCTTTCCTTTAAAGCCAGCCTATACTATGATTGTTTGTAACTTTCCGAACTTCAGAATAAGACAATCCTCTAGATCTTCCTCTCTTGCCTGCCTAGTAACCCATACCCACCCACCTGCTGATAAGCCACCAATATTGAAAGCTGCCTCATCACCCCATATGACTTTGCTCCAGTCAGCCCTGATCCAATCTGTATAATGATATGTCCAATCTAGCCTCTTTTCCTTGACAACTTGGGAGAGATATGGCAGTACTCAGGCTATTCTTCTGTGGTAGCCTTTTTGGCTGAAGACCTTCCATAGTGTAACTTTATTTACTGGTACACCTGCAAGTTCAGCAACTTCAGTGAAGGGCAGACAACAATTCTTTTGACTAGCAGTAGCAACATCACTGAGTCTTTTGTGAATTGGAGTAGTGAAAACCTTGGGACACCCAAGTTTAATCTTCTTAAATGTAAATGGAGTACAGCAAATGGAGAATACTGTACTGGTGGTGATATCAATTTCTTTTGCAAGCCTCCGAAATGACCAAGCTGCCTGTGCACAGAGAGCACAAATCTTGGACCTTATGGAGAAAGTAATTGCTACTCTCTTAGAAGAGCTTCCTTCTGGCCCAATTGAAGCTACTTGAGTAGGAAGAACCAAAGGCATAGCTGGAATATCCTACATATGAGAAGCGGGAGATAGGGATGAAGGCTCTGAGAGGTTATGATCTGGAGTCTCTGGTAGAAGGGCCAGAGAAGCTGGTAGTGTTACTGAGAGAGTTCAAAAACTCAGAAGACTTAGAGAACTCAGTCCAATACGGAGACAGGAATGACGACCAAATAGCTGGTTTGGAGACATTGCTTTGGTTCCTTTCTCTCTTCTTTTTTTCTTTAGCATTCACCGTGCTCTGCTTTCTTTTATCAATAATTCTTAAAGGCACTCCATCTTGTTTTTCCTTTCTATAAACAGCTTTTTTCTCTTAGCATTGTGTTGGAGTACTCAACTGTTGGTGTCTCTAAGGTCATAATGCCATTATCATGTTTAGCCATTCGGTATTTTCTTTTATATGAAGATCCTATTGTCTGAGGACAAAATTAACTAGCTGTCAACAGCCGGAAAATCTTCGGTGATAACAACCACACTCCCCCACCAATCCACTATCATGAAAATCCAAAAGAAAATTAAAAAATATAAATACATAGTAGAAATTAATATTTAGTATACCATCCATCAGCCTTAATAATTGCTTCCACCCTATCCACCAATGATCCTGCCAAAGTATCAAAAACCTTTAGGTCCAGAAGTTCCTAACAATAAGTGATAGCCTCCTCTATAATTTTTTTGATCTCATTGACAGGGCCCTTCAGGAGAAACAGCTCAGGATAGTGCTTATGAAGCTTGTCTTTCACAAGAGACCAAACATTTTCAATTGGATTGAGGTCTGGTGAATAGGGAGGAATTTCTATCAGAGAAATTCCATTTCTCCTGAGCCATCTCCTGAAAGGCAAGTGAGTCTTAGCATTGTCAATGATCAAAAATACCTCTTCCTCTCCAACATGCTCCTTGATATCCTCCCATATCCCTGGAAAGTCATATTGATCATAAACATCAATAATTGACTTTCCAGTCACTCCACCTCCAGCAGAAGTAGGATCAGGAAAAATAGGTAAAAAAAGACCATGAGTTTGACCATAGAAACAACCAGTCATCATCTGACTAATCTTTCTCTCTCCTTTCCTAGCAGTATGTTCAACACAATCCTTATTCCACTTTTCTTTTGGACATCTAAATACCCATTTTCTTCTCTTTCCTCCTCCCCTCGCCACAGCTACCTCATTCCCCCATATTGCCTTCCTTCTCCACATCTGCCTTGTCCAATTCCTATAGGCTAATGCCCATTCCAATCTCTTTTGAGCTAGATCCTCATCCAAATGAATCCTCTCTTGTGCTATCCACTTTTAAAGAAGCTTTTGTGCAAGTCTTCTCTTCACAGTCTTAGCAGAAACATTGGGAGCCACTCTTTCAGCAATCTCATAGTAGCTGGTATGGCGATTTTTGAGAGCTTCCTCTACCATAGCATCATCCTGCAACTTGGTAGTTTTAGGATGTCTTCCTCTACCTTTATTCTCCTTGCCCTCTTGATCTTTCTTTGCAAATGTACTTTTAACGGTACTGAGAGGAATGTCAAGGTAGTGGGAAATTTGGTAATTTATCATCTGATGCTCGTGTAATCCCAGAATTCGTCCCCTTGTAAACTCAGAAAGGTGCTTGGAGGGAATAGGCTGTTTGGCATGACTGCGAAGAATAGGAGGCATAGTTTATTGAAAAAAAAAATTTAAGTAAATTGGTTTGGTTTTGGTTGGTGTAGAGCAATTTCTTTAGGAAGTGTTGAGGGACCGAGGTGATGAGGAGGGGAGTATTGCCATTGCCGTTGAGAGCTAGTTAATTTTGTCCCCGGACAATATCAATAGCTTCTTGGCAAAATCTGTATGAGAACATATTCCCGGGTACTTGTATATGAAGTATAATCAAATTCTTTTATTTTAGTGTTGTGCACTAGTAACTATAGTTGCACCTTAGGTGTGGGGCCAGCGAATTGTCGCACAAAACTCGAACTCAACCGCGGCGTTTGCTGAAACCCGCCAAGGAAGCGAAAATAGGTACATTGTGCTGAGTCAGCAGCACCTCCTGCATACCCTGCAAACCCTCCTTCTACGTTCCTTTCCTCTCTCTCTCCTACCAAGTTTTAATGTAGTCGACCTCTGCAGTAAGCGTACTTCCTTTATTTTGCTCCAACCTACCAATCTTGTCTCCGCAATCATGAAGGCCAAGGCATATTCCGCCCTTCAGAAAACCTACGATCAAGCATTCCTCATCCGCTCCACAGCTGTATTTTACCCCCCCCATTGCTATCCTGCATCCAGTCCATAGGTAGCCTATTGACTCCCGGTTATGCTTATTTAATATAATTAGGTCTACTACGAAGATCAAGGAAATGAGGTAGAAGCTTTACGATGCTGGCGCGAGTGTCTTGGTCAACTCCAAGGCCATAATTCCGCGGGTCATCGCCCTCGCTCAGAAACAGAACGTACCTTGTTGAGGTCGCTCAAAGCAATGCAGGATCAGTGCCAGGAGCGATCGGAACTACTGCAAACATTATTGATCAGTCGAGTGGAGGCGGAGAATAACGGACAGGGCTGGAGGAATAAGGACGCAGATCCGGCGACGTCCAGCCTACAAGCTGCTATTACAGCTGGGAATGTTAAACCGGCCGTCTTACCTATACCCTATCCACTTCCGCCCCCGGTTCCCCCCAGGAGACTGCCTTCGTCCGGTTCTTCGTCCGTTCGAGATACATCGAGGGTCATTCCTCCATCTCTTCATCCCGCTAGTGCCCCGCCGCCCAATATCACCCATTCCTCTTCATCTCGGACACCGAGCCCGGAGAAAAGAGCTTTCCTATCCACACTACGGCCTACACGCAAACAGAAGAAGACAGATTCGAGGATCATAAATGACGGTCCGGAAGCTGCTGCAAAGGCTGCTACGCTGGCTTGGAGCTCCCTATCGCGAGCCGAGGGTGCGCACCTCTCACGAGCGATGGCGGCGCCGTCCACTGACCCCCTACCAGTCCGACAGAGCTTCGTCGCTTCGGCTTCAACAACAAACGATATATCGTGTGGACAGCGTGCTTCTACATTTACAGTACACCGGCGGCCCAGCCCACCTCCTGCCATGCTGTCCCGTACTGGCCTATCCGGGATTAGGTCTCGCCCTAATAGCTCTATCCTTCCGTTAGGCAACCCGCCATGTCCGGGGGATAGCATGCCTCCGGCACCACCACACGGGCACGTCCCACCTTCAACCGACAATATGCGCACCTCGCATCTACTTCACCGGGAGCTTCTGCAAGCCCTGCAGACACCGGCTGAGACCGCACATTGCTACTCATGCGCTGGTTCCCAGAGTGCCCCAACCTTCGCACCAAGAGTTCCCCCAAAGCCTGCCAAGTCTAAACGTCTTTCTCGTGTAAATAATAGCAAACCCGTAATACCTACACCCGAGCTGGAATCCAAAGAGGATTCGGATTCAGAGTACTACAAACCTCCTACGGCTACGAACTCCCGGAATACTATTCACCAACCCGCCGCACCAAGCGGGGGGGATAGATCGACCGGTCCCCCCACGCCATCTCCGGAGGAGGAAAAGCTGATCACGTCTACTGGAGGAGAGGAGGCGCTCCCTCCCCCAGAGAATACGCTTGATGGGCGGGTAGCGAAGGCTTTGGAAAGTATTGGTAGGGGGGTGGATATGAATGCAGCAATGCAGGTCGCAAATGAAATTGTCGTTAAGGGGGATGAAGTTCATTGGGATGACGTTGCAGGGTTAGATGCTGCGAAGCTAGCCCTCAAGGAAGCGGTAGTCTACCCATTTCTGCGACCAGATCTATTCAGCGGTCTGCGAGAGCCGGCACGGGGGATGCTCCTATTTGGGCCTCCGGGAACTGGGAAAACCATGCTTGCCAGAGCTGTCGCAACGGAGTCCAAGTCTACGTTTTTCTCCATTTCTGCCTCTTCACTTACATCTAAATATGCAAGTGCCCTCTTTACCTAATTATTGAATAACGCTGACCTTCAATATAGCTTGGCGAGTCGGAGAAACTCGTCCGGGCGCTCTTCGCTCTCGCGAAGGCAATGGCACCCAGCATCATCTTTGTCGATGAGATCGACTCCCTACTATCTTCAAGAAGCGGCCCAGGCGAACACGAAGCGACCCGAAGAATCAAAACCGAATTCCTAATTCAGTGGTCCGACCTCACGAAGGCTGCTGCGGGGAGGGAGTCTGCTGAGGGAGACGCATCCAGAGTGCTTGTTCTCGCTGCAACCAACTTACCCTGGGCAATCGACGAAGCCGCCCGCCGGCGGTTCGTTCGACGACAGTATATACCGTTACCCGAGGATGATACGAGAAAAAAGCAATTGAAGAACCTTCTCGGACGCCAGAAACACCACCTCAGCGCTGAAGACATCGAGAGGCTGATTGAGCTCACTCAAGGTTTGTCTCCCCCCATTTCACCCAATTTGGACGACCTTTAACGTTATCACAGGCTTCTCCGGCTCAGACATAACCGCCCTGGCAAAAGACGCGGCAATGGGCCCGCTCAGAAGCCTCGGCGAGGCACTGCTGCAAATGCAAATGGACGATATTAGGCCGATCACGTTCGAGGACTTCGAAGCGAGTCTTATGTCAATAAGGCCGAGTGTGAGTAAAGAAGGATTGCGGGCGTTTGAAGATTGGGCGACGAAGTTTGGGGAGCGGGTTTAATTCGGGATTATTAGAGCGATTGTATGACTTCTATACCTTCCTTCTTTTTTCTTTTGTTGTTCCGTTCCTAATTTGAGCAAAGGGGGTAATTTGGTTTGACTAATCGGGGGGACGGAGGTTGTATGATACCGCATAAACCACAGCAGCATTATCGCATATGAACGGTGTTGGCATTGTACTGTATAGGATCGAATAGAAATGATTTGATTTGAACTGGGAATGTAATTGGTCTCTCCCTTTTTGCAACCTGTCGGGTCTATGGTCCCCCGTCGAGTATATTACACACATCTTCCCACCAGGTACTATCCTAAGACCTGCTCATCCCCAGCTTCACCCTCCTTCACAATCCCCTCATATCCCCTCAAATCCTCTCTCGTCCCATCCTCCACCACCTTCCCAGCAGCCCACAACCCCTCAATATTACTCACCCCCACAACCCCCCGCTTCATCTCCCTCCTTAAAACCTTATCCCTGCGCTTGGCCTCCTTCTTGGCCACCCACTCCTCGACGCTCTCGAGGGGCTTCCTCTCACTCCCAGTGCGCATTGGGGAGATGATCTCAGCGACAATGTGCGTCTTCCTCCTGCTAGTAACGTGCCTGGGTAAAATTCTAACGCAGTCGCCTTCAACGCAGGCTTCGGCGCCATCGTGTACGAGGTGGTGAGTGTAGTCGGTGTATTTCTATCGAAGAAATGGTTAGCAGCGGGAGTTTGAGGTAAAGTGAAGTGGGGGGAGGGGAGGGGGAACCTTTCGGATGTGGGAGTTCCAGGTCAATTTTGGGACTCGCACGCGGATGGTTTTTGCGCAGCGGCCGGTGGCGACGACGATGCCTATTGCCATTCCCACACTTTTTGATTTACTTGTTTTGTCCTTTCTTTTCGTTCCCTTTCGTTTGGTTTGTGTGGAGTTGGGGGTTGTGCGGCGGCGGTGGTGTGGGGTGTGGGATTTTCCTCGGCTTCGCCCTTAATTCCAGTGCTCGAGTACCGGTACCCGAATGGATGTGTGGAGGGTGGGTGGTTGAAATATAGTGAGGCTCTCGCGCCACGTTTTGGATTCCGGCCAATGGGACAGGGTTTCGGGGCGCAGTCTGGCAAAGATGGCATCAAATATCTGTGAGCGCAATAAATAATTCTCTTGATATTTCACTGGTATTATTAGGGAATTAGCTAGCCGGGTTTTGAGCTGCGGGTATTATTTTGATCTTCATTGGGAATGAGTTTCTGAGGATAACAATAGTAATAATAGTTCCTAACACTTCTCATGGCCCTGCTTGCTATAAAAAAGAATACCCGTAATTCCGTATGCGCCGAACTGGCTTGGCACATGAAGAATCGGAGAAGAGGACCGGGGAATGAAATAGCAGCCCTCATCGTCGGATTTTTTTTTATTTTGGTTCTGTACAGCTATCTCCCTGTTTTCAGTGCGCCTAATACACCCTTATTGTTCCCGCTTCTATAACTAATTATAAACAGACCGTTCATGGAAAGTGGAAAAAGAAAGAAAAAGAATGGAATCGCGTGTAATGTATTTTGAGGAAACTTTTTTTGGTGCTGGGGGGGATTATACCGAGTTGAGGCGGAGGTAGTATCTAAGACCAATTTTAGCAGAAGTTTAGGCTACTCCCGAGATCTTTCTTGATGAAAGTGAGGTCTACTTAGCCATCTCGTATGAAGTCCTTCAATAAACAAGTTAGCATTTGAATCATTTGTGATGTCACTCAATCCCCACTAACCAACAGATCGCGGTGCTCGGCATAGTAGTAACAATGCGAGGTCTGAGTCCTTTAAAGAACCCCCTATAACCTTCCCTCTCATGGATGATCTTTGCCGCGTCGAATAGCCCTTTGCCTATAGTGACGATAAGATTCTACAGCCCATAACCAGCACAAACAAAGGTGGAATAATTAGACTCACTATTGCGAATACGGCTATTATGAGATGTGCCCCTAGTCTGCAAGAGGGTCTTTATAACATCCAAAGGTGTAGTCATGGCCGCAGCCACGGCTCCTGCCATTCCGCCAGAGAGACAATGGCTAAATGGATCATATCTCCGAGTGGGGTTGAGAACTTTAGCCAGGCTTTCGTACGCAGTAAATTGGATCGCAGTAAATGGAATAGTCATGGCCAAAGTCGTGGGGTAAGAGATATAAAAGGCGCGGAAACCTTCATTGCGGTAGACTGAACGAGCACAATGGGTAATGGATTCATATGTAGAGCCATGCACTTGCATGCGCTGTTTGATGACTATCGTAAATCAGTAAAATGGTCACCCAAACCAACAGCATGATCCAACCTACCATCGAATGGGTTCATTAAGGCATCGCTGGCAATTGTGGCGCAAGCCCCGGCCGTAGCTAAGCTGAAATCAATCGGGCGAACTTGAGGGAAAAAAATTCAAGCAAGAACCTACCAACTGCAAAGGGATGATGTTCGGATCCAACATTTCCCCCTAGCTTCTGTTTTACGGCTTCGTAAGTGCCAAAATAGACGGCATGTGCTGGACCTGTAGGGCATTCAATATTCAAACCACCATTCCAGTCTGCCCACTCAGGAGGGACATACCAGCACCAACAGCGACACTCGCGATTCCTCTCCACAAAGAGCGAACTCCCTCAGTAGAAGATATTTGAGCAACTGCGTTCGTAATTCCGGTATACATAGCCGCTGGAGTAGGGTTGACAATTTGCATGCGAGTCTGAAGAGCCATTGAGCCGCCATTCCACCCAAATATTGACGGAGGTGACAAACCTTAATAGCATCGACCGGATACATCACAACATGCTCCTATTAATCAAATGAACTCGGTCAATTTGTTGCCTCTACATCTCCGGCGGACGGGTTTCCCTACCATGACACCAGCAAACGCTCCTGCGACCAAATTCGACGTTAAACTCCCGCCGCCTAGAGATTCGTAGTCGATATCTTGAGGTGGCGCATGGTCAGCCATCGTGCCTTTGATTGTGGCAGCCAGGGTGAAGAGCGCTGAGAGCAATGGTTATGAGTAGTGGAGGAGTGGTAAGGTAACCAGGTATTAGGTTGGAGCAAATGTGTCGAGTTGAGAGGAGCTAGGAAGAAGAAGGCTAGTGGGTCGGAATGAAGAGGGCAAGAGGTGTCTAAGGCTCGGGTTGGGGGGGGCGAAGACGCAATGTGACGTTGGGCTGAGGAACGGGAGTGTGATGAGCAGAGGGTGTACTATGGCGAGTTGTAACGACCCTCGTGAATCAATGGCCCTTTTTTTTTTCCTTCTTCCCACACCACACAATCAACCTCAGTGGAGGAAGGCAACCAGTAGATCGCCAAGGTTGCTTATTTTCTCTTCCTTTCCCTAACCCCCACCCCCCGGGAGCCGGTGGAGTCGCGATGCCCGTACTCCGCCTTGACCAAAACCCGCTCTGTCTTTAACCTAATTCGTGGTTACGGGGTTCTGCCTGATCTTATCCCAATCCTGCCCCGTGCCATAAACATTCATACGGATATCCATCATCCGGTGATTTCTCCCCCCCCCCGACACCATAGTGATGGCTGTCGTGATTCAAGAAAACCCTCTGCTTCGTTATTTAGTATGGATCCACCTTTCCACTAAAAATTTCGGTCCTTCTAAGCTCCTGCATCTCCAATTCGCCTTACCGTACATACCGGCTTGCCGCTCCCGGTGGGCTTTCGCTGGTCGACGGGGGTTTTACAGGGATGGGGGAGCGAGGCTCCCAAGGTTGGGGCTAATAGACCAAGCACTTGGGCTCCCTATCAGATTCTATGTGCCTCACCGATTGACATTGACTGGACTGACATGCCGCATGCACGGGAATGCCAGGCGGTACAGCCAAAAACCAAACCTTCTCCTAGTGGAAAATTCACCCATGGAATTGAATATATTTGTAAGAAGCAATGCTTTTTCCTTTCCTGCTTTTAATTCTGATATATGCATTGCACTATCCACTACTTACTTGAGCTCTGGAAGGATATTGTCGGCAGATGTAACTGTACAAGGATAGTTAGACCTTATCGCACCGCGGCGTATCGCCTAAGAGATGGTTTATATGTGATATCAGCACTCACCCGAGACCCCAGTATTGTCGGGTTCAGCAAACACCTTTGACACTTTTCCATCTTCAACGATGAGGGCATATCTCTTACTCCTGGGCCCACCAAATATAGGGGTTGCATCAAACTTCATGCCAACAGCGTCGGTGAACTCAGAGGAAGGGTCAGCCAGAAAGCGGAAGTTCTCATCATCACGAGAGGTGAGGGAGTCCTTCCATGCCTACACGTATCGGATGCCGCGAATTTTAACGGTCTAACTCCACCTACAAGAACAGAGCGATAGAGCCAGGCAGCCAAACTGACCTTTGTGACAAAGGGGTCGTTGATAGCCACAACATAGGTCGGAACATCAAATTTAGCTTCTATATATTTGGCGATGTGCGCCGCACTGCAAGCAGGAGAAAATGCTGATGAAACCAAAGAAAGTTAGTGTCTATGGCAATTCAGAAGTACTCTTCAAGAATTTGATAATATACCACCGGGAACTCCAAGAATAAGGGCTTTCTTTTTACCCTTGAGTTCTTCGGCAATAGAGACCCTCTTGCCTAGTGTAGACAATAAAAGTAAATATAGGCTGCTGAATTGTGTGATTCATGATGATGCACCAAGTAACCCACCTGGCGTATTTTCTCTCAATTGAATATTGGGAACCAAGTCACCAACCTCAATGAAAGCCCCAAGCGACGCGCGAAAACCATGAATAGAAGCAGTAGAAAGACGACGATGGGTACTTGGAAAAGCAATAGTCCAGGGACGGAGTAGAGAGAACATATCGATGGTCTGAGCAATTTTTATTAGCATGCGGCTCAACGAGGTGATCGGTCAAGAGGGTGGGGAGCGGCGTGAAATTCATGTTGAATTATTTTCGTACCTGTGCTTGTGATTTAACTGTGATTTAACTGTGAGGTGAAGAAGGTTGATCGTTGCGCTGAGGGAAAATAAGCAGGATTGCACTGTCTATAGTTGGAGTGAACCTTGCTGCGGAATTGAGGATGCAATGTCAGCGAGCGACGGTGTGGGTGCTGTGAGACACGCTCCTCCCTTCTCTCCTCCAGACGACGGCAGTAAGAGAAGTAAATGTGTGGCGGTAGAGTTTGCGAGAAAATCTTTAGAATCCAAGGCGATAGAACTATGTAAGTCACAACGAACATAATGCCAATAAATAAAATGTGAATCATTTATTGCGTCATAGGGTATAATCACCCTTGTGACTCTGAACAGTCAGAGAAATTAAGAATTAAAGATATTCTGACCTAAGTTAGCCTACCGACTGATACAGCAGAAACTATAATATCCTTTTATACTAATTTCAATATATGATACATCCATAAGGTATCAAGCTCCATACCTTTTTAAGGAATTGAATTTAATTTGTCTTGCACAGTTTTAGCAGGATTTCAGAAAGCAGGGTTTTGACTTTTGAAGCATTGTGGAAGGTAGTTAAATATTTAATATTAAAAGAGCAGAAAATTAATGAAGGGATTTATTGAAATTCACCTATATAAGTTATCTGGGCTGAATTAGATTGCAGGATTATATTGTATAATTTACTATTTCTTTATACAAGGTAATCTTCAGAACAGGTATAAGCAAGATATTAGCAAAATACTAAGTGACTGTTAATCTTACAGAAATTAACATAAGACTATAGAGACTAGTAAAATAGAGCTGAGCAAATGCTAAAGGGTAATATGGAAAAGCTGAAAACGGAGAAATTTATCCATTATGTAATAAATTACTGTAGTAGAAAATAGATATTAACTTCATAAATTATTAAAGTTATTACATATATAAAGTATTAGGGAAAAAACTATCTTATTTTAGAATGCAATAGCAAAAGCTATAATTTTTTAAATAAAGTACAAAGTAGTCATTTATAACTTTATAAAAAGTATATACAAAAACAAATAGAGGAGAAAAAAACAAAAAAACAAATAGACAATTGGTCAATACAAAAAATCTTTAAAAATAAATACTATTCAAAGTTGTAATTATTAAAGAATATTTATAGTGATGACTATTTATTGTCAGTGAAGAAGATAAGCTTACAACTATAATATTAGTATAGATAGTAAGCTATTATTCAGCACAAAATGCAAGATTTAAGTTAAAGTTTTCCAAAGCTATATCTAAATTCAATTTTTATATTAAGGGACAACAGATAGTCTAGTACAGAAAGAGACAGGTAAGTCTTATTGAATCTTATAGTATATGTAAGTTGACTAATTTAAGAATTAGTAATATATAGAAAAGTGTAGAAAAACTTACCTATAAAGCAAATGGAAGATGCAGTTACTTCTGATAAAGGACTATAATATCAATTAGAAACTTAGTTATTTATGGACTTTAATAAGAACATGGAAGTCAGAAGAACAATCAGTTAGTAGTTGTTTCAGATTTAACATATCATAATCACAATATCATGAGAGAGAAATTACATAAAAAATCTGGAACAAAATACCCTGTATTAGATTCTTGGTTATTGTACTGTGACATAAGTAATATTGCTCTAGTGTCCTCTACATTCCAGGTGCCCCAGAGTCAGTTGCAATGTTTGTTTGTATTCAGAAGATATGAAATTACCTTACTGTACTTTATTACATACAAACAAGATATCACATTCTTCTTACATCTGTCTAATCTCTGAGTTATTCTTCTTGTTACTTCCTTTTCACCATATCTGTAGCTTTAACTTATCTCTTGCCTGCATTCTGAGTCTAGTTACAGTTACTAGTTCCCTGCAGAGAGCATCTAGCTTTACCCTGTAATACTCTCTTGTATTATAACATGACACTGCTCCCAACACATATACGGTTCCTGCTCAAGTTATCTTACTTTTTACTTCCTGGTTCCAAGACACACACATTTACTATATCTCTCATCAGGGTCTTCTCTATTCCTAGTTCTCACTAGAGTATTTCTGAATGTGCCTATACAGTTGTCCAAGATCATATCCCATCTATCACCAGTGAGTACATTCTTAGGTAGTCCAATATATGTGCTGATACTCTACTTTCGTTCTCCTAATTCCTGATGAATTACACTCATGGAACTTTTATAACCAGTTAGTAACTTTTATTAAATTTACACCATTACTTCTATATCCTCAGGATCTTCTGATGTCAATCTGAATCCTTGTTTTCCAAGTTTATACTATTATGGATGTGAATTTTCAATTCCAATTTTTTTATTCTTTGAATCTCATACTTGCATAAGATGCCATATTGAAAATAGTCAACAACTACCTTTTCCAGCAGTTGTCTTCTGTTTGCAATCAGGTTACTTATATAAGCAATAGCTCCTACATACAATGTAGTAATAATATTATAATCCTCACCTGTGTTCATAATATAGTCTGGATCCTGTAATATCCACATTTCTAAATAAATATCATTAAACATTCTTAAATCAATCTCATTATTGACAAGTTAATACTTGTATATCTCTTATATCAGATACACCAAGGTAAGAATTGCTCCAATATAAACTATCAGACTTTTATGCATTTTCTCTTAGCTATAGTGTGACTAGGCTAAGTATATTCAATTTACATGGTGAGTTAGCTGCCATTAATATTTGAATATATACTTAATGCCATATAGTACTCTCTGCAAGTATGGTCCCACATTATACTGAGTATCAGAAGCTTTGCCAGGAGCTAGTCCTTTAGTGCATCATGTATCTTTTCTCTACCTGCTTATTTAAAGATAAAATTATTATTACTTGCTTTGTTTCAGAATATCAAAGTGCTAATGCATCAAGCTTGGGGGAGATGATAAACTGCAGGATCATAAAATGCAGGAATAGAGATTTCAATTGGTATTAGTAGTAAAATAAGAAGTGAGAAAAGTATTACATGATCTTGAAGAAGGTGTTACTCAGTTGGTAGATTGTGATGGCTATCTCTAGTCAGTATATAGTAGTGGAGAAAACTAGGAAGAACTTGCAAAAATGCATGATATTTTTATTCATTGTAATGATGATCAGAAAGGATCCTGCAAGATGGCCCCTATCAGCATACCCTACTTAGTTAGGATTTATCTAAATAGTCCAAAATGTTAGTGAAGTCAAGTCTACAATGTCATAAGGAAACCAAGTTTTGCAGTCTCATTCCAATAGCATGTTGGCCATTAAAACTGTGTAGGATCTGTCAGACCGCTTTATTTTTATTTCTCCATCTGTCCTTGGTTAGATATTTATGTAAACATTCTCCAGACTCTATTGATTACAATAAACGATTGTCAAACTGGTATAAGTATTTGTAAAAGTAACCAAGTAGATACAATTCAGTCAAATAGTAGTGAGATTCAGTATGAATCAAGTCCATATATTTGTCATTGTCTCTTGTGCAATTGCCTTCATGCACTCTGTACCTCTTAGCGGTAGCAACTGGCTTGTTTATTTATACTCTCTCATGTTATAACTTTTTTTGTTACTCATTAACCTTGACCTGTATCCATTTTGATATTCAGAACATTAAGAAAATATCTATCACTTTATGATACTAGTTTAGCTATCATTCTATATAGGCTAGAGTTTCAAGTATGTGGTGACAGTAGTGCCCCTTTATGGTAAAGTGAAACAGCATGATAAGTCAGCTGTAAGTAGATTTGAATGATAACATTTATATACTCTCTGGCTGCTACAGTACTAGGGTAATAACTTTTAAAAGACAATATCCTAAGTTTCATATCACCTTTTCTTGTCGCTGTGTAATATTAATGTGAAGCTTGTTTGGTATAAACAATCCAGGGTTTAGCAGGAAAAAGGTCTAAATGATATCAAAGGACTGTGCTTGTATATGCATATGAGAGATCTTTGAATCCAGTCGATCATAGACTTGAATAATTGAGATAGGCCATGTGAAGCATATCCAGCCAGTACATATCTGGCACCAAAACATTATTAAGTTTATGAAGAACAATTCTCCTTATACCTTAGTAAAGAATTACTCATGCCCAGTTATACGGCCCAGATATATCCTGCCACTTGGTTATGTTTCCTGTATTCTATACATTTGGAGTTGCATTACAATTATGCTAACATCCCATGGGTCTCAGGCTGTGAGGCTCTGTTTACTTATATCCCATATCTTGTTTCCTAGTACTTTGATATCTAACTCACATTCCAGGTACTTTGTACTAAATTTATAATCAAGATACTCCACTCTCTTGGCTGTACCATTTTCATGTCTGGAGACTTTACAAATGTTTGCTACTTGGCAGACATGCTTTGGGCAACCTGATTCCTGGTGTTATTGTATCTTGTTTTTCTAAACTAATCCTAGATTATTATCACTCTTCTTTACGTACTTACAAACTTTCTTTCGGGCTAAGAAGTAGCTACCTTTCATTTGTCTGCTTTTGTTACCATTTCCACCCCCTTTCCTGTCACCATGATTAGGGGTGCCTGTAGTCCATTGTTTGTTCTGTGCCTCTTGTCAGATAAGTGGGGCCAGTTTCAACTAGCCCACTAGTAATGGGTAAAGCCACCAATCACAATCAAGAACTGAACCATCGAACACAGAGACAATACGAGTGTCTGTCAGCCAATTGTACCACACCACTTCAGGAAATAACAAAGAGCCACTAAGAGGATAAAAGGTTCAGGGTCAAAGCCATCCCTACTGAATTGAGGAGGAGACACCTGACTAAGCCACAGTAAATACCACAAGGATACAAACTCTAAGGGAACTGTGATAAACAACATGGTAGGATTCTGACCGCCGAAATATAGAGTAATGAGTAAGGGCGGGGCCAAAAAGGCCACTATCCTGGAGGAATAATAGTGGCCTGTACGATGTATTGAAACTTGGGAAGGTCATCAGTCTATCACAAAAATGCTTTGCATTATGAGAACTAAGAACTCAGTTAAAATCTAACAAATATGAGCTGGCCCTAAGGACAACCAGGGTGATTCCTCCAAACACAATGTTCAATCCCTCCAATTGAATGCAAAACCTGCCAGTTGAAGATAGACAGGAAGTGGAAGACCATTACCAAAAAAGGCTCTTAGATGACAACAATGAATCGCTTGAAGTGTGAGAATTTTGAGATAACCAGGAGAAGATGAAATAAGATGCAAACA